CGCCTGTAATCCCAGCACTTTGGGAGGCCGAATCACCAGGTCAGGAGAATCACCAGGTCAGGAGATCACCAGGTCAGGAAATCAAGACCATCCTGGCTAACACGGTAAAACCCCATCTCTACTAAAAATGCAAAAAATTAGCTGGGCGTGGTGGTGGGCACCTGTAGTCCCAACTACTTGGGAGGCTGAGGCAGGAGAATGACGTGAACCCGGGAGGCGGAGCTTGCAGTGAGCTGAGATCACGCCACTGCACTCCAGCCTGGGCAACAGAGCAAGACTCCATCTCAAAGAAAGAAAGAAAAAGAAAAATCTCGGATTGGCTTTGCATAGACTGATAATTAGTGTTCCATAAATGAAGAAATATCAATTTAATTCTGTGCACCTAGGGTAGTTAGAATTCTACAATTAAAATAATTTCCCATTAGGATTATGTAATGCATGTGAAACATAGATCCTATTGAATGTCTTTATTTTCTAGCCTTCAGATAAGTACTAATAAGCTACAGTTTTGGCAAACACATTGTGTCAGTATTCAAAGGTTAATCCATTTAGTCTGTATCAGTCAAGGTCCAGTAAGAAAGATAGAAATCATACTAACTGTTTAAACAAAAGACCAGCCCAGGGAATTGTCTAAGTAAGAAGTTGCAGGACTGGAGAAGCAAAAAGGAAGTACCAAGATAGCATACAGAAAATAACTTCAGGAAAGTTACCACCCCTGGGGCTGGAGTTGCAAAGAGAAGGGCTTGAGATTATAAAAAGGTCCCAGACCAGGGCCTTACAGAGCTGTGACCCATCCTTTGAGAATGAGGCTGTGCTCAGCTGCTGCTGATACCTTGGAGCAGCATGGGATGAGGCTTGTTGTGGGAGTCTAGCACCGAACTGAGAACTCAGACCAACTGCCAGGATGAGGTAGAGTTGCTGAGAACTTGCTTATTGGAACAGCAATCACACAGGAAGGAACAGTCCTCTTTCCCCCCACGTGTCTTCCTCTAATGCTTGCTATTGGCAGAGTCTAAGCACCTGGCAAAGGAGAAGTGGTTTGCAGAGTACTCAGCCTATAGAAGGCTGGGTTGTAGCTGAGACAAGAGCTTAAATATTGGTACATGGTCCAAACTTATTTTATACCAAATAGAGATCATTTAATTTCAGGAAAAAAATCTAATTCTGCTCTGCTTATATTCCAATATCAACTCCCCACTGGTGTACTGCAATTCAGTTCCTACACTAATGACCCAGAGTTAGTGCAGATCCCACAAGTGAAAGGGCATGGTTCACAATAAGACTGTCCACACCTCAGACCAACTGGCTATAGATGTGGGGTCTTCCCACAAGATAGAAGAAGCTTCCCACTTCAGCTTCTGTTATTTGCTAGAATGTTTCACAGAACTCAGGCAAAAAAAGTGCTATTTGTACTATGACAGTTTTGTTACAAAGGATACAACTCAGGAACAGTCAATGAAAAGACACATAGGGTGAGGTCTGAGGGGCTCCCAAAGGCAGAGTTTCCATGCCTTCTCCTTGTAGGATTAGCACATTGCCCTCCCATCACATCAATGTGTTCAACCAGGAAGCTGCACTGAGCTTCAGTGTCCAGAGTTTTTACTGGGGTCTCACTATGTTGGCATGATTGATTTAATCATTGGCCACATGGTTAAACTCAATCTCCAGCCCCACAACCCCCCCTAGAGGTAGGTCTAGCACAAAGCCCCAACCTTCTAATCACATGGTTTTTCCAGTGACCAGCCTCTATTCTGAGTCATCTCATTGCTCGGCATTAACTCAGGTGTGATCCAAGGGGCTCATGAAGAACAAAAACACTCCCATTACTTGGGAAATTCCAAGGATTTAGAGTTTCTCTCCCAGAAACCAGGGACAAAGGCCAAATCCTTTATTTTTCAAAAGTTTGCAATATAAGAGGAAAATGTTATTAAAGGCATGTCCAAGTGCATTTGACAGAACACAAGTTCCTATTACAAGTTTTAGAAGCATATATGATAATAGAAAATTAGTGCTAGAAAAGCCCTGAGAAGCCGTTTGCCAACATGAATAAACTAGTTCAGAACATTTATAAGTGAGCTTTGTTCCAAAATTTGCTTTCATTTGGAGTTTAGAAACCTGTTGTTCTTAAAGAGACAATTGGACCCAATGGTTATTACTTCTCAAGCCAGTTTACAAAATTTAATAGGGATAATAGGGCCAGGTGCAGTGGCTCACACCTGTAATCCCAGCATTTAGGGAGGCTGAGGCGGGCAGATCACGAGGTCAGCAGTTCGAGACCAGCCTGTCTAACGTGGTGAAACCCCGTCTCTATGGAAAATACGAAAATTAGCCAGGCGTGGTGGTGGGCGCCTGTGAGGCACGAGAATCGCTTGATCCTAGGAGGTGGAGATTGCAGTGAACTGAGATGGTGCCATTGCATTCCAGCCTGGGCGACCAAGCAAGACTCTGTCTCCAAAAAAAAAAAAAAAAAAATAGTGATAATAATCCAGTAGTAATAATAACTTGTATTTATTGAGCTGGAAATCTGCTGTATGCTGATGTATTATTCTAGATGCCAGGAAGTAGTGAGGATGATATGTTTGAAAATGGAAGAAGATGGGGAACCTGAGTCAGATGCAACATTAAAAGAGATTGTCCGTGAACTATAGAATTTCAAAAACATGCAAGTGAACAATTGTTGAATTCCTGGATAAATATTCTGAGAAAAATGGCCTCAGGATTGTAGTGAGAAGTAAGAGGAGGAAGGTATATGAAGCTGCTTAACATACAGTGGTTCGTAGTGGCTCAATAACTATTCAGAGAAAAACAAAACTCATTCAAGTCAGGACTCAGTCTATAGCAGCGGCCCCCAGCCTTTTTGACACCAGGGACTGGTTTAATGGAAGACAATTTTTCCATGGACTGGGTCAAGGGGATGGTTTTGGGATGATTCAAGTACCTTACTTTTATCATGCACTTTATTTCTATTATTATGACATTGTAATATATAATGAAATAATTATACAACTCACCATAATGTAGAATCAGTGGGAGCCCTGAGCTTGTTTTCCTGCAACTAGACGGTCCCATCTGGGGGTGATGGGAGACAGTGACAGATCATCAGGCATTAGATTATCATAAGAAGCGCACAACCTAGATCCCTCACATGTGCAGTTCACAATAGGGATCCCACTCCATGAGAATCTAATGCCACTGCTGATCTGAGAGGAGGTGGAGCTCAGGCAGTTTTGCAAGTCATGGGGAGTGGCTGTAAATACAGGTGAAGCTTCTCTTACTTGCCTGCAACTCACCTCCTGCTGTGCAGCCTAGTTCCTAACAGGCCATGGACTGGTACTGGTCAGTGGCCTGGGGATTGGGGACCCCTGGTCTATGATACTGAAGCAGATATAGGACCTAGCATAAAATAAGCATAAAACTAGAAAAAGTAATGCATTTGACCCAATTACTTAGGTGGTAAAAAGTTAGGATTGTACTTTATCATGTGATCAAGATCTAGGATAGTAAAAATGGACTACTCAGAGTGCACAGAAGTGTGCCTGAAAAGTGTGACCTGGTGGCTTTTTTAAAAGTATAATAAATCTAATAGAGAAAATTAGCAAAGTCTCACTTAAAAAAAAAAAGTTACAAATCCCAAAGAAAAAACTTAAAAGTTTGTACTGATTTACATTTCCTAATGTCTGTGGGTGATTTTATTTGTTCATTTGACAGTCATTTATTCAGTGTCCAGTGCCACTATGCTGGGCAGAGAATACAAGATAAGTCACACATGGTTCCTGTGTACGTGGAGTAAACAGTCTAGGAGAAAAGATTTCTTTCACAAAGTGGAGGCATAATGCAGCCTTACCCTTCAATGTATGGTTTGGTGCATTATGGTAATATAAGAAAGATAGACAACTGTTAGAAGTGATGTGTTTAAAGAATTTAGTGACAAGCTGGGTGTGGTGGCTCACACCTGTAACCCCAGCACTTTGGGAGGCTCAGGACGGTGGATCACTTGAGGTCAGGAGTTCGAGACCAGCCTAGGCAATATGGTGAAATCCTGTCTCTATTAAAAATACAAAAATCAGCCGGGTGTGATGGCAGGTTCCTGTAATCCCAGCTACTCCAGAGGCTGAGGCAAGAGAATCGCTTGAACCTGGGAGGCAGAGGTTGCAGTGAGCCAGGATCGCACCACTGCACGCCAACCTGGGCAACAGAGTGAGACTCTGTCTCAAAAACAACAAAAAACAAAAACAAAGAATTTAGTGACATAAGAAAATGTTACCTACAGCTTAATGCAAAATGGAAGTTAAAAATGGAATGGAAAAATCCTATTATCAAGTATATAAATGGATACTTTGGGAGGCCAACGTGGGCGGATCATGAGGTCAGGAGATCAAGACCATCCTGGCTAACATGGTGAAACCCCGTCTCTACTGAAAATACAAAAAATTAGCCGGGCGTGGTGGACGCCTGTAGTGCCAGCTACTCCAGAGGCTAAGGCAGGAGAATGGCTTGAACCCAGGAGGCGGAGGTTGCAGCGAGCTGAGATTACGCCACTGCACTCCAGCCTGGGCGACAGAGCGAGACTCTGTCTCAAAAATAAAAAAATAAATAAATAAATGGAAAAACCCCACTATCAAGTATATAAATGTATCATTGTTAACTTTTTTCTCTTAGAGCATGTATATTGTATTAAAAGTATGATTCTCAAACTCTCAGGGAACAGCGGTAAGCACGTGGTTATATGAAATTGTGCCTCTCTGAGTGCCCCAGGTTCCTCTCCTGTAAAATGAGAAAAAGACACACCTACTCCCAGTTCACATACAAGATTAGGTCCAAAGGTGTGTGTCCTGCACCCTCCCCCATGAAGGGGATGATTAGGCTTCATCAAAGCTGCTTTCTGAGTCCTCAAACATTTCTCGATATGTGTGAGAAAAAACAGTCAACACAGTTTTAAAAATTCTCATTGGAACAGTTGTTACTGGATTTTCTAACCCTTCTTTATTCTCACTGCCCAGGTTACCCCTTCCCTACTGCTCCTCCTGTGGATCCATTTGCCAAAATCAAAGTGGACGACTGTGGAAAAACTAAGGGATGCTTTAGGTTGGTGGAACCGCAGGTTGGATAACTTTAAGGCTAAGACTGATTTACTTCTCAGGGTAGTATTTAAATTGCATGTAGTTCCTTCTGATCAGGGGACCTGAGCTCCTTCATCACCTCAGCAGGGTTGTGAAGTTTCGTAATGGCCATCCCGCTTTTCAGTCTTAAAGGCCTTTTAACTTTAGTATGTCCTGGGCCCCGGACCATTCTTCCATGGTTCTTTTGTAGCTGTACCACCATTGCTCCAGGTGTCTTCTACTCACCAATTGCTGATATGCAGAAGACTCATGTGACGCAAAATGTGTCCGTGCTTATTCAGCAGGGGCTGAATAACATTGCAGGGCAGGCAATGATAAACATGTTTAATACCCAATTCCTTTTTTAATAAATAGTCATGACCTATGGATATCTGTGTGATTCTAATTAGTCATTAAGCATTCATTGTTGCTAGCTTGTTATCTCGGGTATGGTGAGTCTCTACATGATTATTAGTAGTATCACGCGACATGACAGACTGGGCTAGAAAACAGTCGTGTGGACAATGGGCCTCCCATCTAGACAGCTCTGCTTCTTTGGGAAAGCCTCCTCCTTTGAACCCTTTACTTCCTAAAACAAGTTGCCCCTGAGTAATTTGATGGTCGGGGCAATTTGCTGGCCAGGGACAAAGTTCTGATGGTCACTGCACTGAAGGTTCTGATTTTGCTGTTGTTCAGTACTTGAGGTCTAAGGAGGAAAAATTGAATACAGGGGCTTTGAGCTTTCTTTGGATTACAAGGCCATTTCTAAGGAATACATAAAAATATCCAATAATATTCTTATTGAGGAAGATGGTCAGCAATGTATAAATCTGGTGACTGGGGGATGTTTTGAGAAGGGAGGGAATTTTAGTACTCTACTGGCTTCAAAGTGACTTGTTTTCTTGTCCATTTACTCCTTTTTTAACTTCCCTTGCTCCTTTTCATCTTTTTCACCCCAGTGCCCTGTGGCCTTGATCCTATATCTCTTCCTGGCTCCTCAGGTATCTCTGCCAATATAGTAGTACATTCCTGTCCCCTCCTCAACACTTAGCACCCCGTGCCCTGTTCCTTTAGATACCTTCCATCTGCGATTAGATTGTCCCACCCATTGCTTCAACTTTCTACCATTCTGCAAATGGCATAATACAGTGTTCCCCAAACCAGGGCTTGCCAATTCTGAAAGGATCCACACATCCTCTGTAAGAAAATTTAAATTTGTGTTTTCATTTGAGTGGTGCTCTTGAAAAAACATGAATGTCTGCATAATCTCACTATCTGGATAATCACCTTATATTGTATGTTTTAGTGCCTGAATTTGTAATTGTATTAGCAGAAAGTAGCCCAACAGAACAAAGGCAAATTTTATAAATAAAGCAAGTGCAGTGGCTCATGTCTGTCATCCCTGCACTTTGGGAGGCCGAGGCAGGTAGATCACCTGAGGTCAGGAGTTCAAGATCAGCCTGACCAACATGGTGAAACCCCATCTGTACTAAAAATACAAAAATTAGCCAGGTGTGGTGGCCCACACCTGTAGTCCCAACTAGTTGGGAGGCTTAGGCAGGAGAATTGCTTGAACCCAATAGGTGGAGGCTGCAGTGAGCCAAGATCCCGCCACTGCACTCCAGCCTGGGCAACAGAGTGAGACTCTATCTCAAAAAAAAAAAAAAGAAAAAAAAGTTATAAATATATATCGCATTCATTCATGGTCCATGAGTACCAGATGGAGGTATTCATTTGGTGTATTGCATAAATGAGGGTTTTGCAGCAGTTCAAGCAGATAAAAGTGAAGAGTTGAGTCATCATGCTATAGAGAGTAGTAAGAACATGCTCTCAACTCCAAAGACCCTGTATGATCTAGTCAGATACCACATGCACATAAGCAGAAATTTACTTTCAGTAAAGCCCCATCATCTGTTGCAAGAATGCTGTGAATTTCAATGTTCCTGGTTTATCAGTTAAATTTATATTGAATTTGTAAATTTGTGTTAGTTTGATTATACGAAAATTTGTAAGTTAAAAAGAGTTGGTATGCATTTAATTAACAAACAATTTAAATGGTTAACTTGGCGAATCTTTTTCCATTAAAAGGGATTCAGAAATAATTCAGTAGTAACTAACATGTAAAAGATTCTAATATTAGTATTATGTAGAGAACACTGGCTGGGAGTTTGGAGACCCAGGTTCAAGTCCTGTTGCAACTGCTGACTTCACTATACAACCTTGGGCAAGCCCCTTCCCATCTCACGACGGCAGTTCTTGGGTATAAAGAGGGGCAGATCATCTCCAGGGTTCCTCCTAAGAGAGTGAAACTGTGTTTTTAAGATTCCAGGTAGCAAAAATCCAATGTGTTTAATAATATTGCTTAGCATCCCACCTGATACATAGTAGATGTTCTCTTAATGTCTTTTGAGTAAGTAGAAGCAGTGATGTCTCTTTTGATGTATCTTCTAGATATGGCAAACCAGGCTGTAATGCAGAGACCTGTGACTACTTCCTCAGCTACCGGATGATAGGGGCTGATGTAGAATTTGAGCTGAGTGCAGACACAGATGGTTGGGTAGCAGTTGGATTCTCTTCAGACAAGAAAATGGTAAGATGCAAAACATGATAGAAGCTGATTTTTTCTCTTTAGTTGGCTGTGCTATTTTGATTTTAGAAGCAAGTTAATTGATCAAAGCAGTATAATGATCATATTAGTTATGGCTCTCTGATTGCAAGTTAAAAAAAAAATTCAGTCTAGCTTAAATGAAAGGGTTGGCTATCAGAATCCAAGCTGTCTTGTGGCACCTCTATTCATCAGCTGTTTCCACAGTAAGGCTACAAGAAGAGACCCGCATGTTATAAGCCTTATATGGCTTACAACAATGAGCATGTATTGCTTGCTCACATGTGCATGGATTGACTGGGGTGCAGCTCATTTTAGGTGGGGCTCAGCTGGACTTGACTCCAGTCCATGAGTTGGGTTCAGGCTTTCTGTGTTTTCACTAGTCATCCAAGGTATATTTTTTTCATGGCAGAAGCAGAAGTGAAAGAACCACTTAAAAGAGGGAAAAACAACATTTTCCCCTCTCTACTCATATTCTCAATACAGAAAGAACATTTCTGTGACCAGATGTGTGGGGGTGTTCCCCCACACCCCAAGCATTTGTCCAGTGGACAGCTGGGTGTCCTCTTAATTCAATTTGTTTCTGACACTACCTACCTGGAGACAGAATCAGATCCCAAGGTTAAGGGTTCAACACACAAGACTGCCCCCATTTCAGACACCAGTCACAAGCCCCAGGTTGTGACCTGTATTTCTGACCAACCAGCTATAAATCTGGGGTGCCACCACCCCCTCACGTTCAGTTAATTTCCTGGAATGGCTCACAGAACTCGGAGAAACACTTTACTCATTCATTCATTCATTCATTCAGATGGAGTTTCGCTCTTGTTGCTCAGGCTGGAGTGCAATGGTGTGACCTCAACTCACTGCAACCTGCACCTCCCAGGTTCAAGCGATTCTCCTGCCTCAGCCTCCTAAGTAGCTAGGATTACGGGCGCCTGCCACTACACCCAGCTAATTTTTTGTATTTTTAGTAGAGATGAGGTTTCCTCATGTTGGCCAGGCTGGTCTCAAACTCCTGACCTCAGGTGATCCACCCGCCTCGGCTTCCCAGAGTCCTGAGATTAAGGCATGAGCCACCATACCCAGCCTGCTTTACTCATTTATTATGAAGGCTATTACAAAGGATACAGATAAACAGTTAGATGGAAGAGACACTTAGGGAAAGGCATGGGGAAAGGAGTGAGGAGCTTCAACACTCTGTTGGGTGCACTACCCTTCAGGCACCTCCACCTGTTCAGCAATCTGGAAGCTCATCTGAACCCTGTCCTTTTGGGTTTTTTTGTTTTGTTTTGTTTTGTTTTTTTCGAGGCAGAGTCTCACTCTGTTGCCCAGGCTGGAGTACAGTGGCATGATCTCGTCTCACTGCTACCTTCGCTTCCTGGGTTCAAGCAATTTTTCTGCCTCGGGTTCCCAACATAGCTGGGATTACAGGCGTGCGCCACTGCACCCAGCTGATTTGTATAATTTTAGTAGAGATCGGGTTTCGCATGTTGGCCAGGCTAGTCTCGAACTCCTGGCCTCGAGCAATCTGCCCCCCTCAGACTCCCAAAGTGCCGAAATTACAGGCACTTCCGTGCCTGGCCTCTTTTTGAATTTTTATGGAGGCTTCATTATAATAGGCATAATGGATTACATCAGGGAAGTTAAGAATTTGGTTCAACAATTTTGTCTTCCTCTGTACCCAGGGGCAAGTAAACATCTGGACCTCAGACAGGACAGTGGCCAGGCACAGGCGGGGCCTCAGGCACACAGGCAGCTGTCATTACTGGCCCCTGCTCTTCACTGAGCCTTGCTGCATTTTTTCTCTCTTTCCTCTGGGGCCCCATTCTTTGCCACTTCACTGGGCCAGGCTTGTTCCCAAATTATCAGACTTTCTCAGGCCTCTGTGCCTTTGCACTTGTTGCTGTTTCTGCCTAGAGCACCCCGCCCTTCTCTTCATCTGGTCTATTTTGAGGCTTGTGTAGGGCTACAGGGGAGAGAGGAGGGCGGCTCAGACCAAAGTTCCAGCAGTGACAGTGGTGAGAAGGGCTCAGATTTTGGATGTTTTGAAAGTAGCACTAACTGAGGCCGAGGTGGATCACCTGAGGTCAGGAGTTCGAGAC